GTACTAATTTAAAGGGTCCGGATCTCCACGGGGAGGTCATTCCAGAGGGCTGGAACTGCAACAGAGAAGGCTCTCCCCCGGGGAGTCGCCAGCCGACATTGGCTGGCAGATGGGATCCAGAGGAGACCTAACCTGTGAGATCTTATCGGTCTGAGGGAGGTAATCGGCAGGAGGCGGTCTCTCAGGTACCCAGGTCTGATTGACTTTTAAGATATTTGTTCCAGCCTATATCAGTTGAATCAAGACTGCATATATAAAAACAAGAATTTCACCATTAAAATTGCTCTTTCAAGTATAATAATTAACATTGCACATTAAATAGCAATAGGCACTTAGACTTATATACCGCTTTAGAGTGCTTTATAGCCCTCTCTAATAAATAATGGAAATAGCATCACCAATTGAAAAACTAAAACAGAACTCCCTTAGAAAGGAGTATCTTGCTGCTTATTCAATTTTTTTCTTTTTTAACTAAAAGCTCCTGATCTTGTAGTGAAATCGTCATAGACCTCATTGCAATGACTACACTCAAGTATCTTCTTATGGGAAAACCAGTTTCTTTTCCAAGAAATCTAGAGGCGATAGAATGACCATAGATTAAGGACCAATGATATCAAATATGAATTTAGCCCAAAGCATAAAAGTTTAGCCAGCAATGTCATCAGGATGGGAGCCAGACAGATCTATGGGAGGAGATCATTTTGTTAATTTCTTATTGTAACAACCAGACAGTTCACCCTCATAATCTTAAAAAAATATATATCTTAACTTCTCTTATTTATCAATAGTTCTTAATTTATCAATTAATAGCTTAAATTATGAAACAGTAAATAGAGTCAGAGTATTCTGCTATTGTTTGCATTTGACCGTACGTAAACTGATAATTGGGATTGTTAAATTCATTTCTCCCTGTCGTTTTAATTCTTCATAATTTTACAGGTATGTCCTACAGGAATTAGTGGAGACAGAACGAGATTATGTGAGAGATCTTGGCTATGTAGTAGAGGTATGTTTCGACCTTATCTAGAGCAGATTGGTTTTAATTTTTATCAATCAAATCAGAAGCATGGATTTACCATTCCTCTCAATCTAATCATCTTTAGAAGATATTATCAGCAAAACAGGTAGTCTTTGACTTACAATAGTCCATTTAGTGGGTTCAAAGTTACAACGGCACTGAAAAATGTGACTTATGACCGTTTTTTATAGGTACAACCTTTGCAGCTTCCCCATGGTCATGTGATCAAAATTCACATACTTGGCAACGGTTTCATATTCATTACTTTTGCTGTGTCCCAGGGTCATTTCTGACAAACTCAATAGCAATAGCAATAGCAGTTAGACTTATATACCGCTTCA